ATTTTTCTTTTAATCAAACTATTTTAGGAAACAAGAATAAATTAATTATAAATACATAAACAGTTATTATTTACATCAATAAAACTCACCTTCTTAACAGCACTTAAGGGACATAAAGGGCCGTTACTACTGTTTTTCCGTTCAAAATATTCTAATAAGGTTGCGATGAGTTTTTTGCAACTGCTATTAAGCTATCTTGTACACTTTGCAATAAAAGAGTTTCTAAAAAAAAATAATGTTCGACCTCAAAGTCTGCTAGTAAACATTTTTAAGCTTTTTACATTCTTTTAAACCAAAAACTCGTAATACAAAACTAAAGTGTCAAAACGAATGGAAATGTCAGGAAATAAATATATGTGACAACTTGTCATTTTTTACAGCAGAGCTACCACCTGAATCCCCAGGGGTGAAATTTAAATTCCAGTTGGTCAGCCCGGCACCGAATCTGTCCATGGTTATAGCAACAATGAATTTAAAAATCGCGCTCCTAAAACTAGTTTTTAAAAAGTTTAATTGGTATCGCCTATAACTAGTTAGTTTAATTCCATAATATGCAAATGACACCACAATAAATAGTGGTATATATCCAAGAACAGTTTGATCGAAGTATATTTTATAAACAAGTAAGCATTGGATGATGGCAGATAATATAAATTAGTAATTCGCAATGAAAATTACGTTATAATTTAACTTTCCACCAGGGGCGCAAATAGACATAGACTTTTAGGGAGGTTTAAGACTTTATGGGGGCTTGGGTCACTATAAGATAATGTTGATTTGAAGTTAAAACCATTTTAAAACGACTCGCACCTGTCTTTTGGGGGAGGCTAAGTCCCCCTAGACCCCTCCTAGTTGCGCCACTGCTTTCCACGTCCATCAACAGCGTGATGAATCTCTTTTATCAATCTAAAAAGGAAAATATAATTTTAAAACACAAGGATTATTATTATTATAATAATCATTTATTATATTTATTATTATTTGTTTATACTATAGCAACTTACAGCATATTGTATCCAGCTTACAAATGTACATAAGACTTAGTATCCAACTTCTACTAAAAAAACGGCTGTTAGTAAGCTTT